ATATTTTAAAAAAGAAAACAGACTATCCTAGATAAAAGCTGAGGGAATTCATCACTAGACCTACATTCATATCTTAAAGAGTCTTTGCAAGTTGAAACAAAAAGATACCTGGCAGCCCACACCTGTAATCCCAGCACATAAGGAGGTTGAAGCAGAAGAATCATTCATTTCAAGTTCAAAACCAGCCTGGGCTATAAAATGAGCTCAAGACCAGCCTGAACTATATAGTGAGAACTTGTCTCAAAAAGACAGAAAAATAAAATGTGACATTCATACACAGTGTAGTACTACTCTGCTATAAGGAAGGATAAACTTAAAGCATTTTTAAGTAAATGGATCCACTTTGAGACTATATTGTTAATGCAATCAGACACATGGGGGCCGGGGAGATGGCTCAGTAAAATAAGCGCTTGCCTGGCAAGGGGGGGGGGGTGGATCAGACACACAAGATTAAATAGTTTCCCTTATATGACAAACCGGAAGTATAAAGGGTAAAATACAAGATATGCGGAAACACAGAGCTATTTTTCAAATTGGAAGAGAACAGATGGAGGGGCCGGGGAGATGGCTCAGAAGGATAAGCACTTGACTGGCAAATGCAAGAATCTGAGTTCAATGCCTGGTGCCACCAAAAAAAAAAAAAAAAAAAAAAAAAAAAGAACAGATGGAAGGAGTGGTTAGGCATGGTGACAACAAGCCTGTAATCCCAGTACTGAGTAGACTAAGACAGAAGACTGCTTCAAATACAAAGCCAGTTCCTAAAAGTACAGGAGTGAGCTTGGGGGTGGGGGGGCGCCCCTGTTCCCCACCCCTGCATGCCAGGGAGGAGAAAGGATGAGGAAGGGGAGGGAGGGAAGAATGAAAGGAAAAAGGGATTTAGAAGTTCAAAAGAAAAAAATGAAATAGAGCTTTTGGAAATGGGGAGGGAAAGAAGAGTTGTAGAGAGTAGGAAGAGATAGGAGGTAAACAAAGTATTATATACTTACATGAACAAATTCCCCACAACAAATGTAATCATTATGTACTGCAGAGAAATACTAACAAAAAGAACCCCTTGGCCAGCAGGGTTGGTTCACACCTATAATCCCAGCACTTAGGGAAGACAAGGCAGGAACATCATCTTGAGTTTGAGTCCAGCCTAAGCTACAAAGTAAGACAAAAGCCAGCCTGAACTATAAACTGAAACCCTGTCTGCACCCCACCATCACCATCAAAAAGGTGCCCTTAGGTGACTTGAGGGTATATTTCCATAGGCAAGGAGGCAATTCTTTGAAGGTGACCCCAGCACTCAGAGAAAGATTACTGCCAGTTCATGGCTAGCCTGGGCAAAACAGCAGGCTCAAGGATATTATGAGATCTTGTCTTAAAAAAAATAAATAAAATGATAGGAAATGGTAGCAAAAGTGTTGTTGAGAGCTATGGGTATAGCTCAGTAATATAGCACTTGTCCTAACATGTGTGAGGCCCCAAGTTCTATAAAACAAAAATAATTTTATTGAAAATCCAGTCTTCAAATTTCAGCCCCTCCTACATAAAGCCCCTTATTCAAGTGATAAACCTTCCCTCCCAATTTATCTTTCTGGGGGCCGGAGAGATAGCTCAGTGGAATAAGTGCTCCCCTGGCAACGGCAAGGGTCTGGAGTTCAATCCCCCGGTTCTACCAACCCCCCGTCCCCCAAAAAAAACACAATTTATCTATTAAAATAGACCAACTTGAGAAAAGCAAGCATATTCTCCAGGCTCTTTCTAACAAATAATCCAAAATCCTTACCTGGCTCAGGGAGCTTGGCCTGTGGTGTCAAGTTGGGAATTCCTGGCTCTTTTTCCATGTCCTCCATGCTGGTACTGGATTTATCACAAATTTTCAACCGTGGCCCAACTGAATCTAAGTGGCTGACATGATTAGGAGCTGTTCCTGAATCCTCTAGTATATCAGTAGGAGGAGGACCTCTATGCTCTGAGAAATTATTACGCCCTTTCTCTATATGGTCACCAGGAGGAAAGACCCCAAAGGTGCCCTCAGAGTTTTCTTTCTCCCTAAACCTGTTAGTACGCTTTCCAGGTTTAGTGCGCCTTTGGTTTACACGCTGCCACCGCTTTTTAGGCACTACTTGACTTACTACACCAGCACTGGGTTCATCATTCTTGCTGTTCATTTCAGAGTTCAGTACCAAGCCTTTATTGTTCTCAAAAGTGGGTCCTCTATCAGAAATTTTATCGGAGTCAGACTGTTTAACTTTGTTATCAAAATGTACATCTGAAAAATGAGCATCTTCACTTGCTAAGTGGTCCATTAATTGGGCAGGTTCTTCTTTAGGAGGATCTGCTGCCCTGCTTCTTGATGGGCTAGTCACTGAACCTCCACTCTCTTTGTCTCCCTGTGCTGTACCTGGAAGGGTCAGAGCTGGAAGTCGGTTCAGTTTTCTTTTGCGCTCTGTCTTTAAGGTTTTCTCCGTCTTTAAGGTTTTCCGGTTCACTGTGTTCTTTGCTAATTGGATTGAAAATGCATCTCTCATTTTGGATGACAATTTTGATCTGCCACAGTTGCGCCTAGAAACACAGTTTGATCGATTTTTGCCATAAGGAAAGTCTCTTCTGGTGGACACTACATCAGGTAGGGAGGCAGGTAACTCCCCAGACAGCGTAGAGTCACTCCCATTAGGGCAAGGATGAGCTGAGTTCTGAGTGCCATTTCCATTTTTTTCTGCATTGTGTGTAGATCCTCCTGAAACTAAAACTTTAGATGCCCCTACAGGGCTACTAGTAGAAGAGTCTCCACGGGCAGGACTTCGATAAGAGACAAGATTTTGACCTGTCATCAATCTCTGCTCCTTAGTCTTACTATCATGCATGTCTTTTAGCATCATTAGCAGCGTACTGAATTTGTAGTCTGGTTCAATAGGTATATGATTCTGACTAGAAGTGGAAGAAAAAAGTAATGGTTTTGATGGCTTTGATGTTCCAGAGTCACTATCATCACTCAAAGATCTGTAAGAAAGTTCTTTCAATTCTGACAGAACATGTTTCACCACTGCTGTTTCTATGTCACTTGCATCCCTGGTTTTCTCATGCATATTGTTTAGTAGCTTTAGCCCATCCACTTTTCCACTTTTAGAAATGCTGGCCAAAGGAGAACCTTTAAGATCAGAAGAGCAGCATTTCAAGCTGCAGTCCTCATTTAGAACTGATGATTCTACCATAACTGGATTTTCTTTATGTTTGCACTTTACATTTCGGAACTTGGGCTGTTTGTTTTTTGAATGTAACAGAGATTGATGTGTAACCCCACTTTTCACTAATGAGTTTTCACTGGAAATACTTGGTGTGTTGAATTTTGGAGACAAACTATCATTTCTAAAATCTGAATGGGATTTCTGAACAAAAGTAGACACCTTAAGATCAGAGAGATTAACCTGAGATGTTTCAGCTCCAGGCTCTGCTGTCTTTCTATCCAAGTGTTCTGCATGCGAGTTAGCAATGAAAGGCTTCAGCTTGGCTTTTACTCTAGTGTTTGTGTCAGGATACCTAGAGTACTTCATCTTTTCATTTTTCTGCACAGATAACACATTCTCTGTCCTATCAAAAGTGTCTGTAATTTCAAGGACACTGTTATCAGACTCTGAGCTGTGCTCTATGGGATCCAGATCACTGCTTCCATCATCAGAAGTGGTACAGATACTAATGGAATCACTTCGCTTTTCTTCATCACCAGCTCCAACATAGCAGAGCTGCACTTTTGAATTACATACCAGACCTCGCTTTTTCTCCCCAGAACGTTTAGAGATCAAGGCACCCTCAGATAATCCTAATAAAGCATCACAATTTGAAGTCTCAAATTCTTTTTTAGCAGTGTTTTTTCCACATGAGGAAAAGAGAAAACTGCCTGGGGCAGTGTTGGACCCACTGAGGCTGTTTGCTATCCTGGAAAGTTCATTAGAGGCCTGATTATCACATACATCCCCAGAGATAAAATTTAGGCTAAGGTTCTCAGGAGTCTTTCCCCTCCATTCCTCTTTATGTGTTTCAAACTGCATAAGGCCCTTTTTCACACTAGTCCTTTTTAGATTATCAGAGCTTTTTCTAGCTCGAGACTTAGCAGGAGGTTTTTCCTTCTCATCTGCAGAATGTTCAGAATCAAAAGCCAGAGATTTCAAGCAGCCATTAAGCAATAGATCATGTTCTGATTCAGGATCATTTGTACAGTCCTCAAATGGCATATCCTCTTCACTGTCCAACTTGATTGAACTGGTGACACATTTCCTGTTCTTTGACCCTCTGGGAACATCATATTGTTCAGCAAGACCAACACTGGCTTCCCATTTACTCAAAATTTTCTGAGGCACCTTAAATTTAAAAGAGAAAAAATATAGCACTTAAAGAAATGGAAGGGGAAAGGAGATAATCAATAACACCTTTCAAACCACAAACTTTATTGGACTTATGGTTTGTCTCATAAATCCTCTACCATCCTTGCATTTATAAGTTTAAGACCAAAACTAGTTATATATTTCCAAATCAAAGAATACTTAGACTCTGCCTATATCTTCCTCTATATCTTAGATGAGAATAAGGATTTTTTTTTTTTTTCTATCAAAGAAAGAACAAGAACATGATCAGTTGGATTTAGGGGGAAAAAAGGGGGGTGGGGCTGGGTATGGTGGTGGTGATGGAGTTGCACACCTGTAATCCTAGTATTCAGGAAGCTGAGAGAGGAGGATTCCAATGAGTTTGAGACCAGCTAGGTTCCACATTGAGTTCAAGAAAACCTAGACTACACAGTGAGAACTCCATTTTAAAACCACCACCAAAAAAAAACCCCAAAACAAACAAACAGAAATGGCAAAAAGTTCAAAGAAGATAAATAAGAAAAAGTAGGGCAGGAGGAATGAACAAGTTAGATCTGTCTCCTGGAATCAGAAATTTTACATGTCCCTAGGCTACCTAGCTAATCAAGGGCTTTTATACATATCACATACAACTTGGAATAGAACAAGGTCATCTCTGGAGGTATAGTTTTCTTTCTTTTCTCTCTCTTTGCTTTTTTCTTTTGACAGGGTCTTGCTATACAGTTCAGTTTAACTCCCTACACAACCCAGGCTGGCCTCAAACTAGTAGTGATCCTTCTGCCCCGGCATCGATAGTTCTGAGACTACAGGTATGTACCACCACACTTCAGCCAAAGGGACATAATTATGTAGCCCAGACATAGAAAGACACCCTGAGTATGACAAAATACAAGTGTTCTTTCCTAAAATCCTCACAGCATTAGGGTTACAGACACTGTGGAAAAGTTAATTTCCCAGACTCTTATTTCTTTCCACGGCTCCATACAATAGGTGTGGGGCCTTTTTGTACTGGGAACCAAACAAAGGGCTTTGTGTTTACCAGACAGGCCCTGTTACACTGAGCTGGCCCCATACAATACATATTGATTAGTAAAACTTGTAACTACTGATTAAAATTCACATAGTAACGCCCTCATGCAAGAGACTAAAGGATCACTTTGAGTTTGAAGTACCCTGAGCTACAAAGTGAGTTCTAGGACAACCTTAACGCCATATTGAGACCCTCTTACTTAGACACACACCTATAATCCCTGCACTCTGAGAGACTGAATCACAAGAATCAAAAATATTGGCCCGGGGAGATAGATCAGTAGAATAAGCGCTTGCCTGGCAAGCACAAGGGCCCGAGTTCAATCCCCGGTTCTGCCAAAAAAAAAAAAAAAAAAATTCAATGGCGGCCCACCTAAACAACTTAGATTCTCAAAATTTAAAATGGTGGGGCCGGGGAGATGGCTCAATGGAATAAGCGCTTCCCTGGCAAACACAAGGGCCTGAGTTCAATCCCTGGTTCCACCAAAAAAAAAAAAAGTAAAAATTTAAAATGGTGACTTGAAATAACTGAACATATTTCTGCTTCTTGAAAAAGCCAGTAAATACGATTATACAATTTAAAATATTAGCAAAGCCCTTCACATAGTAGAACAAAATAAATTTTAGTGAAAACTATACTTGGATATTCATTCTTGCTTGAACTTCGCTATACAATTTTGAATCAAACAGGCAGTGTGTATCTTATTACCTAAATTTCACTACAAATACTTTTTGGATTTGTATATCTTTGTATGACTTCCAAGGCATAACAAATCAGGATTTTGTTGTTCAATGTGTACTAAATATAAACTGTAATGTTTCACTCTAGGAAAATATACATATTATTATCCTTGGAGATTTGAACAGAATAAAATTACTCATACAAATTATATTAGTTGGAATATATGGGCAATATCACCTACTAAATGTATGTGTGCCCATTGTTTAAAACTGTGGAAATTTAATGCCGGCCCACCCCCAGGGCATGCTGAGACAGACTGAGACTGGGTGTGGTGGCATGCCCCTGTAATCCCAGCACTTGGGAGGCTGAAAACAGGAGAATCATTACTTGAGTCTGATCTACAAAGTAAGATCCTGTACAACCTGTAGACCCAGTACCAAATACATAAAAATTATAAAATAAATAAAATTGTGGGAAATTAAAAGAATTTTAAAGAAGGTAGAAGGTAGGCAGGCTAAGTCTACTTAAGAAAATTTTGTTAAGTCTATTCCTGTGAGGAATATAAGAATAGACTAATAAAATGTGTATTTGGCCATTGCCAAGGAAGATAAATGCAGTATACCCTTTTGTATTTCCTTGTTCCAGTTATCTTTTCCTGTTTTTGTTTGTTTGTTTTTTGCGGAACCGGGGATTGAACTCAGACCCTTGCGCTTGCCAGGGAAGAGCTTATTCTACTGAGCCATCTCCCCGGCCCCTCCAGTTATCTTTTTGTAAGAGAAAAATAAGGAATTTAAAAGGGGGAAAGAGGGAAGAGAATGAAGCTCAGTGTAAAGGACCTGGGTTCAGTTCCCAGTAGCAGCCAGGTGTGGTAGCACAGGCCTATAATCCCAACACTCAGGCTGAAGCAGGACTGTTTCAACCCTGAGACCAGCCTGGGCTACCAAGTAAGCTCAAAGCCAGCCTGAACTGCACACAAGATCCTGTCTTAAAAAGACAGGAAAGGGCCAGGGAGATGGCTCAGTGGAATAAGCACTTCCCTGGCAAGTGCAAAGGCCTGAGTTCAATACCTGGTTCCGCAAAAAAAAAAAAAGACAGGAATAAAAAAAAAGGAGCCAGGGAGATGGCTCAGTGGAATAAGCACTTCCCTGGCAAGTGCAAAGGCCTGAGTTCAATACCTGGTTCCGCAAAAAAAAAAAAAGACAGGAATAAAAAAAAAGGAGCCAGGGAGATGGCTCAGTGGACTAAGTGCTTCCCTGGCAAGTGCAAGGGCCTGAGTTCAATCCCCGGTTCTGCAAAAAAAAAAAAAAAAAGAGGAAAACCTCACCATCAAAATATAAACAGATTAGAAATTTAAAATTAAACACTAATGAGACTTTAAAAAAAAAAAAAAAACCTACATCTCACAATCTTCCTGCCTCAGCTTGCCAAGTGCTAGGATTACAGGTGTGCACCTCATTTGACAAAATTTTAATTAAGAGAAATAATTAGCCCACAGGGTGAGAAGTTGGTTAGTTTTAATGATCACTTTCTTATTGTAGAAAGACTGGCTTTGCCATATCATACTGTCACTTCTTTGAGAGACAAGGCAGAAGAAATTGTAAATATTTCTCAAAACCTTAAGTGTATTTCAAAATCTAGCTCAAGCTTATTCCCTTAAAACTGCTTCCAAATTATTTCCTAACAGACTCCTTATAAACAAAGAAATACCCTATAAAACTTTTTTTAAAAAGGTTTCTTTCCTAATTGCTTTTACTCAGCAGCACATAATCTTAAAGAGACCCTCTTTGGGTTTTACCTTATGTCTATATCCTTTTTCTTTCTGCTTTCCTCTTTTCCTAAGGACAGGTAATTCTTCAAATTGATGTCTGCCTTCAAACATGACGATTGCTTTTCCAGCCACCCAGGCTCTTTCAGAAGGGTCTCCAAAAGCTTCTACATAATACTCACGATAAGGCCTCCGATTGGCAACTGTAACGATAAAAACCAATGCCATTATTTCAAAAACATGACTGCTCATCATCTAGAGAACACTGTGACCCCACACTGTTAAAGACGATTCAGACGACTGTGGTAATAAACAACACATTAAAAAAAAAAACAAAAACACCACAGAATTAAAGAATCTGAAAAGGGTCACTCATATACAAGGAAAATTTTAAATATTCAGTTTATATGACAAGAATTATTGAAAGACTATCTGGAGACCTGATATGTATTTAAAGCTAGTTTATTTCAATGCTGTCATTATTAAAAAATAAAAAGGATGAGTTGTAGCATCGCAAACGTTTAAAAAAAGTCTAAAGTCTCTATGGTGGGGTCCAGGATATGGGGCAACACCCTGAATTCAATTCCCAGTACCAAAAATAAATAAATTTTAAAAAACAGAATCTCGGGCCAGGAAGATGGTTCAGTAGAATAAGCACTTGCCTGGCAAGCACAAAAGTCTGAGTTCAAATCCCTAGTTCCGCCAAAAAAAAAAAAAAACCAGAATCTCCCTGGTAAAATATGTAGAGGAAGCAATGTTTCAACAAAGGGCCAATACAATGCACTAATGTTTATACAGTACCTACAGGGGCCAGGCTGTATGCTAGATGCTATGCAGACAAAGAGTATAATTACAACTTTAAAAACATAGGGGGACTGGAGATATAGCTCAGTGTCACAGAACCTGCCAGACAAGCACAAGGTTCTAAGTTTGATTCCGGGTACCAAAATAATAAAAACAATAAAAATAAAAACATAGGGGGACCAGGCATGGTAGCATATGTCTGTCATCCCAACACTCAGGGGGCTAAGGCAGTAAGATCACAGTGAGTTCCAGGCCAGCCTGGACTACATGAGCAAATTCACTGTCAGCTTGCACTACACGGAGAAACCCTGTCACAAAAGCAAAAAAAGAAGGAAAAAAAAAAAAAGAAATAATAATTCTAATGACTTTTTTTTCTCCATAATTTTATTGATAAACAAATAGCAATGAGACAGTTTCAAATCAAATTGGTAGGACAGGTTCAATAATTAATACATTGCACACATTCCTCCCAGTGGTTAATTACTGTACAAGATGCAGACATGATATCCTACCTACAAACACCATTAGAACAAATCACTCTATTCATTAAGAGAATGTAACTATATATCTATACCAACCACTTTGAATACACAGATACAAAATGGACATTCATCTGTATACCCTTTTTTTGTTAAGTTCCATTATTTGAAAATTATAGGTTCTAATGACTTTTATTTATTTTTTAAATTCTAATGACTTTAGAACCAACTCTAGAATATGATCTCGTTTTTTTGTTGGTTTTTTTTTTTGCCGGACTGGGGATTCAACTCAGGCCCTTGCGCTTGCCAGGCAAGTGCTTATTCTACTGAGCCATCTCCCTGGCCCTATGATCTCGTTTTATTTTGTTTTGTTTTGGTGGAACAGGGGATTGAACTCAGGCCCTTGCGCTTGCCAGGGCAGCACTTATTCCACTGAGCCATCTCCCCGCCCCCTATGATCTCGTTTTTATAGGCGTAATAAGTTGCAATATATCACAGAACAAATCTGTAGCCAAATTCTAGCTTTGCAGAATTTTATACTATTTCAAAACAAAAAATTTTAAAAT